GGGAGGCAGGTGCCCGTCTCCTGTCCCTCCTGCAGCCGTGTGTTTGTCACCGCGGGGAGCTGCTGTCAGCGACGTCGGGGCTGCAGGCACAGGGAGGGATTCGTGTGCTTGAGCTGAGACCTGCGAGGGGTTACAACGCGTGAAGGGCCGTTCTCCGGCTCCCTTCGGATAATGCGTGTTTTGTCGCTCCCCTTCCCATTGTGCAAGGGACGATTCCTCTGGGAAAATTAATTGTGGATCCTATTTTATTATGATGGGATGAGGCGTGGATACGGCACTGTCTGCATCACTGAGCTCTCTCATACAGCGTGTAGGTGAAGCGCAGCCCCGAGCCGGAGCGACAGGAGTGGGTACGGGGGGTGGCAGCTGTGACAGGAGGGGGCACGAGCGATGGATCTCTGCAGCCCCTTGCACAGCGCTGAGCCGGTTCACGTTGGTACTCGTGTGCCCTGTGAAAGCACGGCGGGACGTACCGAGCCGTGCGTTTCTGTCCCTCTTTATCACCCAGGGTCACCCGCACTCGAGTTGCGAGGAGAGCAGGACCCGGGGAGCGTGGCTGGAGCGAGGGTTTGTGCCTCTCGAAGGGCAGCCCATGCTGGGAGGGGGATTCCTCCCCGGCTGGGGGTTGCAGGTCGCCTCTCCCCAGCCAGCCAGCGCTGCCTGCCAGACTCCTGCCCGCACAACGCGGTGCCCTTATAAGGGCAGGGAGAAGCTGAAAGGTGCCTTGTCTCAACGCTTCCTCCCTCCTTTCCGGCCGCCTCGCTCAGCCCTGGTGATGGCCGCAGCCTGGCAGGACCCGGCCGCTCCTGTGCCAAAGCCAGGAAGGGCCATGGATCCTGTTAAACAGCAATTCCCCTGTGCAGAGCACGGGGACGGCATCCGCTTCGTGGTCTCCCTTCCTTCCTCCCGGCATCGCCTCGATGCTCGTGCCACGCGTGGCGAGGTGTGCTGGGGTGCAGGAACCCCAGTTAGCCGGGAGCACCAGCCTTGGACGTGTGGTTTGGGTTAGACCTACCCCCAGGTACCAGCATCTTCCCCCCTGACTCCTGGATCAGCCCCCCCTGCAGCCGGGCATCCCTGTGCGGCAGTTTTTTAGGGCCACGTTCCTACACCCTGAAAGTTAGAGGGTTAAAAAAAACGAGGAAGAGATGAAGGGGGATGAATTTAGGAGGGTGAAAATACAGAACTTCTCAAAGGAACTGCTTAGCCTCGTGATTAGCTTCTCGGTTGGTGACTCTCTGTCTTTCTAGCCTGGATTTCTTACATCTCGTCAACCTGCGCTGTGCCCCGTGCAGCCCCCCTGCTCCTCGGGGCCGGCTGAGCAGGAGGCTGCGGGGAAAATCCCTCTTCTTCCGAGCAGCATCTCCCAGCACAACGGCGGGGCCAGCATCCCACGCCCGGCCTGCAGTGCTCTCCAGAAATTCAGCCTTTATTGAAAGCACAGCAGATAAAGGACAAACACGGCCCCGCTGCCCGCCTGTCGCTGCGACTGAGCTAAACCGGGGCTGGTGCTTCGCAGAGCAGCTCGCGGGGTTGACTCACCCCCTCCTGATCTTGGTCGGGGTGTGTGTCACAGGCTTTATGTCACAGCTCTGTTACCCTTTGGTTCCACATGCCTGGTGCTTAACACCTCGGGGTTGTTGCTTCCTAATCGGTGATGTTCAAGCTGTGTTCTTTACCCCAGCCAGCAAAAGTTTGTTAGTTTGTGGGGTTTTTTTCCCCTCTCGTTGCTTCGAGCAAAAAGAGACTTCTGCCTTGAAATCGGTCTCTCGTGTTCCTCTGATGTGCTTTGGCGTCTTGGTTGTATTAATATCCTCCCAGGGTGGACTCTGCAGCCTGGTTCATTAAGCCTTTGCTTTCTAACGTCGCATTAGAGTTAGAAATCTAATGTGACTCACAGATCGTACCATCTATCTCAGGGTTTCTGTGATGCCCCGTGGCTGTGAAGAAGGAGTAGAGGCTCTGACATGTTTTCAAAGCTTGCGTTTCTCCTGGTCTGCAGGACAGGAAGAGCAAACGTTGTGTTTGCAAGCGGAGCACTGAGCTCTGGGGTATCTCCACCGCTGTAACCCGTGCAGCCGGCGGCGAGCTCTCCCGTGTGCCTGCCGGTGCCCGTTGCAGAGCTGGTGCCTGGAGCAGGAGGGGATGGGGGAGTCCCGGAAAAACCCCCCGGAGCCGCGGGCGCCGTGGCCCCTGACCCTGCAGCCCCTGTGCAAAACGGAAACCGCGGTGTCTCGTTGTCCCCTGGAAATCTTTTATTTCCTGTGTCGTTCTGGATCAGAGAGGAGGCAGGACCCGCTCCGTGATGTGCTGCGTGCCCGCAGCCCTGCCCGGCTCCAGCGTCAGAGGGGTCTGACCTGGGCACATCGGCACGGTTCGGACGCTGCACCTGCCCCTGCCTGCTGTGCCAGGACCCGTGCTGGAGCCAGGCGAGGCCCCGGGAGAGCCCAGATGGCAGCAGAGGTGTCTTGGCTTCTCCAGAAGATATGGTAAAATGTTTGGCAGCCTTTCCTGAAAGGTGTTTCCAGGCCCAGCTGGATACGCTGTCTGGATGGGAGGCAAATCCGTGAGGTCTGAAGGAGTGTCTCCGTAGGAGTGTGTGTCGGGGAGAAATCAGCTTTATTCCGCCTCCCCCGCCACGCTGCCGGTTCTCTGCCTCCAGGCTTTATCTTGGCACGGCACGTGAGCGCGGCGCCGATCTGCAAGCACGGCCCTCGTCCTGCGAGCTCTTTCTTTGCAGGGCCAGCCCAGCTTCCCGACCGTCCGGCTGCGGGACGGGAAGGGTTACGGGAAGCTGCCTGTGCTGGCCAGACGCGCCGGTGTCTGGCCCCTCGGACTGGGGGGGGGGGGGCGCGGTTCACCCAC